CAGGTTCAGGATGCTGGTGCCCTTGCCCTGCAAGGACATATTCAGTTCATTCAGTTTCCTGAATATATCTGCCAGATAGCAAAGCTTTGCAAGCCAGTCCGTGTTCTCAAACAAGGTGGCATGGGGAGATCCGTGCTTTGTCAGGAATGTGTGCACTTCAGCTCGCAACTCAAATAGCCTGCTCAGTACTTTTCCACGAGACATCCAGCGCACTTCAGTATGCAGGAGCAGTTCAGTGTGTTCAGCTCCCGTATTTTCACAGAGGCCGCGGAACAAACGTGCGTTAATTGGCCTTGACTTGATGAAGTTTATAACTTTAATGCTGTCGTTCAAAACATCGTGAAACACAGGGCTCATTTTCTTGGACGCTAGCGCTTCCCTGTGTATCACACAGTGCGTCCACTTGATGAGGGGATTTTCTTTTTTAATCCGCGCTATGAGCCCTTTCGCGCTGCCCGTCATTGATGCAGCCGCATCTGTGCAGACGCTGCTGCAGGATTTCCAGCTGATAGCGTTTTCAGTGAAAAACATGTTAACGACATTAAAAATATCCTCTCCGGTTGTTGGCCCCTCCATTTCTTTGCAGAATAGGATGCGTTCACAGATGTCGTCTGTGTCAATGTATCTTACAAATGCAAGAAGTTGCGCATTTCCACTCACATCTGTGGATTCATCCAGCTGCAGTGAAAATGAGTCGCCAAGTTTCCCCACAACTTGTGCGACAATGTCTGTGCCCATGTGATCTATTCTGCGGCAAACTGTGTCATTAGACAGAGGCACAGTTTAATGTATCCACTGATTTTTTGTCCAGCATAGTTTCGGCCAATACAACAGCAGCGGGGGGGGAGCAGTAGGTCTTCCGCTATGGTGAACGGTTTTTTGGCTTTAGCAACAAGCAAAGACACTGCGTGAGAAGCCTCCAGGGCTTTGGCTGATGTAGTGGAGGCTTTTCGCATTGTGGCTTGGGATGACTTGAACTCAGAAAGTTTCCTCCTGAAGAACTCCGGTGGCGTACCAACGTGACATCCATGTTTTGTTGTGAGATGCCGCTGGAGGTGCGCTGGCTTCATGCTAGCGTTGGCTAATTTCTCCCCGCAAAAAAAACACAGTGCATGGAGGGGGGTCAGAGATCGTGGACGTAAATCCCATTAAAGCATACTTCTCCATGTACGTTCTTTACTTCGTTGGCTCTGGTTTTGCCTTCTTTTTAACTTCATCTGCACTTTCAGCAGCGTTACTGCTACGCTTTAGCCACGTCTCCATAGTTACAGCGTAACCATGGTAACGACAGGTCGTTGACAAGTGCGCTGGGTTCGTGGGTCAAACTAACTTGGTGGGGGGTCGGTTTTATTTTAAAGGATATTTTTAAAGGCAGTGCATGAACACACATTTATATTCTATCGAACTTTTTACAGAATAATTTCTACCAAGACTTATCGTGAGGAGCCTACTGATTTTTAAAATATATTTTGAAAAGCTTCACGTACCCCCTGCAGTACCTCCATGTACCCCCAGGGGTACGCGTACCCCCATTTGATAATCACTGCACTAGGTGATGACACCATTGACCATGGGAACCTTTTGGAGCTGATCATCCTCTTAGGAAAATATGATGTCTTCCTCAAAGAGCACATTGACCAATGTATTGAAAAACATAAACAGCAACATCACTCCAGTGGAACAATAGGTCAAAGGTCTCTCATCACACTTCTCTCTAAAACCACTGTCAATACAGTCATTGATACAATTGGCCACATAAATCATTTCAACGGATGTAGAGAAAGCTGGAATGTTCTCTATTCAGCTGGACACAACACAAGACATCTCCTCTCAGGATCAGTGTTCAATCATTTTAAGATACGGCACTGACACTGTACACCAGGGGTCGGGAACCTTTTTGACTAAGAGAGCCATGAAAGCAAAAAATTTGGAAATGTATTCCAGTGAGAGCCATATAATATATTTTAAAAGTGAATTCAACTAAATGTCAGTATAATAAGCCTCTGAATTTATTCTTTTGAATAATGTTGTTATAATACTCACCATTGATGCGACTTCTGGTGCTGCATGGATTTGCTGATGTCTTTGTAGTCTGGTTGGTACTTGGTGATGTTAAGCTTCATGCAAGCGTTGAGGCTTTCATCCGTTAAACGTGGTCGTAGGTTGGACTTGATGTGAGAATGACTGCTCACATGCATACGTTGATCCAAACATGGTCAATACAGCAATACTCACACGCTGCAGTGTGTGGTATGTGACAGGAAGAGCGTTCCAAGTTTTGAGAATCAGCTGGTCTTCGAGTTTAAGTTTTTTCATTTCTGTCCACATGTGCTTGCTCGCCAACTCGTGTGATTCTTTCCAAATCTTCATTTAGTGACTTGAACTTATTCACCCACATGTCTGAGGCCTTCAGGTCAGCCACTTCTGCTTCAAAATCTCTGACGGAGACACCAGGAATGTAACTCAGGTCGGCTGTGTTCAGTGAACACTTGTTTGGATGGGTGATGAACTTAAAAAGACGAGTGTGCTCACGAAATTCTCCAAAGCGTGCTTTAAAGGACTGTAGGAGACTGGATGTGCAGGCAGGTAGCTGATGGAGATCAAAGTTTTGAATGGGCTCACTTGCTGTGCATGCATCTTTAAATTGGCTCAGTTTTTCAAAATGTAGTAAACGACCTGTTTCAAGATCCATGATGGAAAGCTCCAGCTTGTTTTCAAAAGCAAACACAGCTTGTTGAAGGGATAACACTGTATTTCCAATGCCTTGCATTTTCACGTTGAGCTGGTTCAAATGTTCAGTCAGATCTACGAGATAGTAAAACTTGAGGAGCCACTCAGTTTCGGCTAGCTCAGGATGCTCGATGCCTTTCATTTCAAGGAAAGTCCGGATTTCGTTCAGGCAAGCCGCAAAACGGCTAAGCACCTTCCCTCTTGACAACCAACGCACATTGCTGTGCAAAAGCAGACCAGGATAGTTATTTCCAACTTCATCCAGCTGTGTTTTAAACTGGCGATCATTTAAGGCGCGGGCAACAATAAAATTGATCACACGAGTGACCAGCGACATCACTTCACCAAACTGCCTGTCACACATCTGAGCACAGAGTACCTCCTGGTGTAGAATGCAATGGAAACTTAGAATGGGTCTATTTTCATGTTCACGGAGAAGCGCCACAAATCCTTTGTTTTTCCCCACCATACACGGAGCACCATCAGTACACTCAGAGAAGTTTATCCATAGGTTGACTTTTTTCTTGAGCAAACTTCATGAAAGAATCGAATAAATCCTCCCCTCTTGTGGACCCTTTTAATGGCAGAACAGCAAGACTTTCTTCGCGCAGTGTGTCACCAACAGCATATCTTGCAATCATGCTGAACTGCAACAAATGGCTCACGTCTGTTGACTCATCCAAAGCCAGGGAAAAGAACGGCGCTGCATTTATGTCCTTCACTTGCGTTTCCTCCACTTTGTTTGCCATCACGATGGTACAATCATGAACAGTTCTTGCCGACAGAGGCATGTCTTGTATCCGTTTGATTATCTTGTCTTTGTTCGGAAGATCATCAAAAAGTTCTTCAGCTATATTCAGCATGAATGTTTTAGCATACTCGCCATCTGTGAATGGTTTTCCGTTCCTCACTATTGCTAAAGATCCAGCAAAGCTAGCGGAATTATAGTCACCTTGCCGGGTTCATACGCGGAGTTGCTGCTGGCTAGCTTGTACCCTGCTCAGTAGCTCTTGGCACGCTTTCTTTCTGCTGTCTCCCGCCGGGTATTTTGATGCAAAGGTAGCATGGCGCGTGT